AGAGCTTTCTATTCTTACCTCGATAGTGTAGCTAACTACATCAGCTGCATAAATATAAGTTTGTAGTAAAGTGAAGGTGATCAGAATATCACAAAATGCTTCTTTACTCTGTGGCATTGTTTAGCTTACGGTCAAATTATTCATGAAAAGAAAAGATACATGTGGCACTGATCTTTTATTTTTAGCTTGCGCATTAGAAATGTTGACATGTGTCGAGCATCAAGACTTGACTGCACAAGCTGAAAACGATGCTTGCAGTGCAACTTTGACATAAAATTTGGATGTTTTTCGAATACATGATGAGTACTGTAAAATGCTTTATTTTAGCTGGAATTAATTTTCGCTGAAATGACTTTTTGGGTGATTTGTATGGAATTTATTTTTACTGATTTTTCCTGAGTTGAATGTAAAATATAGGAAAATAAGGTATATTCGCTGGATTTTTTTTTCACTAAATTAATTCCAAGCAATTTTACAGTAATATTGTATACCATAACAGCATCAGATACAAGTGTACAACATGTTTTTGATCAGCAGATTGATGAATGAGGACACGTTTGTAGTATAAGCCAAACAGGTTCTAGGTGGGTCCTGATGTGATTCTGATTAACATGAACACAACTGTTTTTTGCACATATGAACGATTGAAAAATAATAATACATGCCGACATCTCATAGCATGAACATAGCTATTGAGTGTTTGATTCAAGGTTTAAATAAACAAGATCACTGAAGTCAGATGTTTAGGAGATCTTGACATGCACAGTTTTTGCATGGTGGATTTCATTTGTCTTTTGCTTGTGATGGACTGATAATCTTATCTGTCATAAGACGTCCTAGAATGAGAGATGATTCGTGATGTACATTTACAATAAATATTAAAGTAAGATATTATTTTGATATCACAATGTAGTGCTTTATTTGTCAATACAGGGAATTGAAACATAGAATCACAAGGAGTGTTCATGCTACACAAATTACGTGCTAAGATTTGAGCTAATCCTATTGCATATTGGATAGACCCAATTGCTTTCACGCAATGGACGAAAACAGTGGTTAGCACAGGCTAAGGAATGCCCAAACTTGTTAAGAATATACAAAAATCTTCAGTCATTTTAACTATGATTACTCAGTACAGTAACTAGGAAGACGTACATGCTAGTTCTACAGTTATAAAACAATACCAAAGCAAATTTAGAAACTGCA